CTTCCAAACCCTCCCTCCCCGAGCCCTTCCCCTCCAAACCCTTCCTCCCCGAGCCCTTTCCTTCCAAACCCTCCATCCCCGAGCCCTTCCCTTCCAAACCCTTCCTCTCCGAGCCCTTCCCTTCCAAACCCTTCCTCTCCAAGCCCTTCTCCGCCCCACGCCCGGCACAGGAATGTTCCCTCTGCCGGCTCCATCCTTCCTTACGCTGTGGCAGCCGGTTTGGGAAGTTTCCCCTCAGTCTCCAGCAGGAAATGCTGCCCAGTCTCTCCTCACCTCCCAGGGCCTCTTTGCTTCTGCACTGGATATGCGGGATGGAAAGAAGGGGCAGAGGCAAAAGCTGCTGCCTATGATCAAAGATCACCATTGCTGCTGCCTAGTTCTGTAGCAGTTAATGCTGAGCTGTCAACTTTTAGATAAAATAAATTGCCATTGTGTTTTGCAAGCTAGCAACGTGACTTTAAAAACATGAAGCCAACACAGTATTTGATAATGCTGAGCAAAAATTAGCAATTTAATGGTATTTCCATTTTGATTAACAGAACAAATAAAAGAGGAGCTCCAGCAGGAAGAGTCAGGGTGCTGTGATATACCCCCTGTCACAGCAGCCCACAATCCAATTTCTGTTTAGCACAGCCTCTGTGCAAGGATCACAATTTCTAGTGCTGGAAGTACCAAATAACACCTTGAGCTTCAACACACTCGTGGCAGTGTGGATGGGATACTTCAAAGGGATGGTTCCTGCCTCTATAAGCCTGAAGTTCTTAGCAGGATGTCCAGCCTTCACAGACACATCATGAAAAGAGAGTGTTGCTTCTGCCTTGAACACGTCTTTGACCTAAGTAACACACAGAGATAACTGAGGCATTTGCAGGCAGCATTCAAACCAGGCACAAACAATTCCAAGCTTCCAGCAGCTCTGGCCACCCTGCACATCTGGGATAGCAGTGTGTGAACTGGAGTCCTATCCTGGTTTGGGCTGGAATAGAATTCATCCTCTTCCCAGCAGCTGGCACAGTTTTGGGTTCAGTAGGGAATAACATTGATAAGACACTGATGGTTTGGCTGTTGCTGAGCAGTGCTTAATCTGAGCCAAGGACCTTTCTGTGTCTCATGCCCTGCCACTGAAAAAAGCACAAAAAGCTGGGAAGGAGCACAGCTGGGGCTGGTGACACAAACTGGCCACAAAAGGGATATTCCACACCATAGAACACCATGCCCAGTATATGAACTGGGGGGAGATGGCCAGAAAGAGCCAATTGCTGCTCAGGAGCAGTGGCTGGACATCAGAGAGCAGGTGATGGGGAAGCAATTGTGCTGTGCATCATTAGTTTTGGTTGGGCTTTCTCTCTCTCTTCCCTACTTTCTGTGATTGTTATCATTACGATTGCCATTGAGTTTGTGCTTCATTAGGCTAGTTGGGGTAAAAACCAGAGGTAGATCCGAACGTGAATGAAGAGTTGGATTGAAAACCGAATCCAGAGTTAAACCCAGACCGGGATCCAGAGCTTCCTGTAGCATTACTAAATGAGAAAGCTAAAGAGAAAAAACACATTATGATTAACAGACAATTGTGGAGATTTGGAGTCTGCCTCTGTCCTGACCCAAGGCTCGCTGTCAGTGAGGGCTGAAGCACCATCCCAAGAGCAGCACCCAGGGAATTCTAATTTCACCAATTCAGTCAGACAAGCGTCCCACTGTGCACAGTTCTGGGACTGTAGGCTGAGCTTACAAAGCATGGTAAAGGAGCAGAAGTATTCACACAGAAAGAGCAGGTTATTTATGTCCTAAGCAAACTACACCCTACTGCTGCTGTGATAAATTCTCAACTTTCCCCTTGAATCAAAGGGATGTCAGAGGTACTGCTATTATCTTCTCTTCATCCTCCCAGAAAACTCCTGGGACTTGCAAGCCTCTTTACCCATAGCCTGCTTTAGCAAGGTGTATCCAAGGCATCACAGCCCTGAATCTCAGGACCAGCTCTCTTTGCTGTAGACACATGTGCAAATAAGCATACAGTGGAATCAGCACTTCTAGAGCTACTCAGTGTGCTTGGTGTCTCACATCCTTTTCTCAAAGATGTTTTATTGACTTCTCCATCTTGCTTTTGACAAAGTGAAATGAGCACTTACGTGGTGGTGGTGGTGGTGCTCCAAATCCTGAAGATGGTGGTGGCTTAAAGGAGAAGTCCAGCTTTGAGAGGAATTCCTGGAAAAGCCTCATGACAACATCTGCTTTTGATTTATCCACAGTAATGGGTGGCTTTGGCACTGTCATGCCATCCATTCTAGGAAGTGTATTGCATTGCCTAAAACACACAGAAGGAATCACAGAACCACAAAACCACTGAGGTGAGAAAAGACTTGAGAGTCCATCAAGCCCAGGCTGTGCCTGATGCCCACCTTGTCCCCAGCCCAGAGCTCTGAGTGCCACCTCCAGGGATGGGGATCCAACCCTCCCTGGGCACTTCCAGTGCCTGAGCTCCCTTTCCATGGGGAAATTCCTGCTGCTGTCCACCCTGAGCCTCCCCTGGCCCAGCCTGAGGCCGTTCCCTCTCCTCCTGTCCCTGTTCCCTGGGAGCAGAGCCCGACCCCCCCGGCTGTCCCCTCCTGTCAGGGACTTGTGCAGAGCCACAAGGGCCCCCTGAGCTCCTTTTCTCCAGGCTGAGCCCCTTCCCAGCTCCCTCAGGAATTCTCCAGCCCCTTCCCAGCTCCGTTCCCTGGCTCCAGCCCCTCCATGTCTCTCCCACCGTGAGGGGCCCAGAGCTGGACACAGCACTCGAGGTGTGACCCGGCAGTGCCAGCACAGGGGACAGGCCCTGCCCTGCTCCTGCTGCTGCCCCATTGCTGCCACAGGCCCGGTGCCACTGGCCTCACCCCCCTGCCCACAGCTGGGCTCACGTTCAGCCACCACTGAACAGCATTCCCAGTTCCTTCCAGGCAGCTTTCACTGTTCCCCCAGCCTGGAACTGCATGAGATTGTTGTGACCACAGTGCAGGCACTTTGCCTCATGGAACTTCACACTGCTGGCCTTGGTCCATGGATCCAGCCTGTCCTGAATCCTCTGCAGAGCTCCCTGCCCTCCAGCACATCCACACTCCTGCCCGACTTAGTGTCCTCTGTGAACTTACTGAGAGTGCGCTCCATCCCCTCATCCAGATCCTCAATAAAGACACTGAAACTCAGGGAGAGCTTACCTGGCTTTAATTGCTGAAAAACCCTGTAGAAGACATTTTGAAAGCAGAATTAGCACAGTGCAGGCACAGCCCTGGAGCTGTGGGAAGGGAGATGCTGATAGGTACCTTGGTGAAAAGAAGTTTGTCCTTCTGATTTCTCAGAGCCTCCAGGTCCTGAACATCACGGCTGGCTGAATCCTTCCTCTTCTTCTGATTATTCATCTCTGTCTGAATCCGATGAAGTTGATGCTCCTCATAGTCACTGAGGACTTTCAGGAGCTCTCCTTTTTTGTTGTCCAGCTGCAGATGCATCTTCTTGAACAGGTTCTCCAGCCTTTGCCTGTGCTGGTTCTCCTCAGTCTATTAAGAAAACAATTTCAAAATTGTAAGGGACATTTTCCACATAAGCTCTCACTCAGAAAAAAAAGTCTGTCTTTTTTTCTGGGATGAGAGACATAACTAAATGGTGAAGGTTGAAAAAATAAAAAAGTCACACACCAGCCACTCATCACGAGGCACAGACTTTCAAGGTTAAGGAAGAATGCATCCTCCCAGACTGATAAGAAAGTTATGCATCATCTTCCCTCAAAGAAGAAGCCTCAAAAATACATGAGAAACCACCCAGGAGCTAAAAAAGCTTCTGAATCCACGAAATGAGGAAGGGCAAAAGGAAATTTTATCTTATTTACCAGCAAGCAACCAGCCCAAGGTGATATGTGACCTATAAACAAACCTTTAGTGCTGTCTCTTGTTTGAGCAGGTTTGCTATGGTTTGATCCAGTGCACCTTCGTGGCGTTTCATTGTTTCCAGAATTCCAGGCAATGCTTTCTACAAATACAACCGGAAGGAAATATCAGGATAGGACTGGCATAATGCACGAGATCAGCAGTTTTATAGACAGGGATTAAGTTAGATTTGTGCAAGGTTTGCTCACTGCATGCTCTCAGGACGTATCAGTAGATGAAGGTTTACTGGGAGGTTTTAACCCTGAACAAATGCCACAATACAAGCATAAAAAAAGCCAATTTGAAGCTGAAAACTGTTCACCTGCACTAGGCACATATAAAGCTATTTAGGTTGGCACCTTTCCTTCTGTTACTCTCATTAATTATCTTTGCATAAGTGCAGCTCAGGCTCATCTTTGGCTTGGAGGCGCACCAAGGACTAAAACCTTGCACGAGTCCCACCAGTTTGGCCAAACTCTTCCCTCAGGAGGGGAAAAAAAGCGTTTGTAACACCTAACTGTGTATCTCAAAGGCCAAACCCAGAGAGAATCTGGGACAAAACTAAGAACAAAAGCCCAGGACTGCAATTTAGCCCTGCCCTGGGGAAACTCAGGAGCCGTGCCCTGTGCCATGGGCAGCTCTCTGAGGTTCTCCTGGTGCAATCCCTGCCTGTCCCAGCAGCCTCTTACCTGAGCTACGTTGAAAGCCTCCTCCAAACTGATGATCTTGTGCTCCTTGTGGGAGAGGACTGAGCACAGCATGCAGATGCACACGCATTCCTGCTGGCAGAAGCACTCCAGCAGTTTGCCGTGCTCGGGGCATCTCCTCTCGGCCAAAACCTGGGCACCGCACAGCTCCACCAGCACATGGTTCTTCTGGGCGCTGCCACCGCCGTGCTTCTTCAGGTGGGCTTGGCACAGGGAGGCTTCGCAGCTCAGACACGTCTTCACGGCGGGCTGCGGCTCCTGGAGGCAGAAATCACACAGGATCACCTCCTCTGGCTGCCCCGAGCTCTCCCCCTTCTCCTGGCATTGCCCTTCCTGCTCTTCCTGCTCTTGGTGCGCAGGGTCATCCATGAACTTCTGCACGATGTTGCGGAGGTGGAAGTTGGGCTGCAGCTCCCCGACGGTGGAAAGGCAGAGCGGGCAGCGGACGGGGCTCGGCTGGCTCCGGATCGCCTGCTTGATGCAGTCCCTGCAGAAGCTGTGGCTGCAGCTCAGGGATGTGGGGTCACTGTAAATGTCCAGGCAGATGGGGCAGGTGAGCTCTTCCTTCAGGCCGGACACGAGTTGTGGCCGGGACATGGCGCCGCAGCCCCGGGGCAGGGCTGAGCCCGGAGGGAGGGAGGGCTCTGCTGGGAAACGACACAAAACGCGGCAGTGACGAGGAACACGCTTTGCCCCGTGGGCTAAAAGCTGCTGCCTCCTCCCCCTGGCAAGGGAGTGTCATCCCTCCCCGCCCTGCAGCTTCTTTCCTCTCGGTGCAGCGTGGTTGTTCCGGTGTTGAGAGAAAAAAAAAAAAATCGTAATAAGTCGTGTTTAAGTGTTGGGAGTTCCATTCGGTTTACCCGGCTGAGCTTTGTCCTGTGTGCGAGTGGTTATCTCGTAAAGACTGTGAGCCCGAGCGATGCTGGTTAAGGAGGAATATCCTGGCCAGACCATAGCAATGGGCGAATCCAAAGAGGAGAAATTTTTTTGGAGGCCTGTGATCAAAAAAGAATAATTGGAGGAATGGGATGTTACCCAAACGACCACCCGAGACCCTCAAAGAAACCCTACTCAAATGGAAATCAACTCCAGGAAGTGATTTAAATATGCAAAAAAACCCCACAAAAACCCAGGGAATGTTTAGCATATAGGTATGAGTTTGGGGAAATGTATGGAATATGTAAAAGTTCCATAGATTTCAATTGGTCTGTTAGCAAGGTGTGGTGTGTTTAATTGAGAGTTATGCCCCACATGCCCTGGGGCTGAAATAAAGTAATGCCACTTTCTAATATTGAAATTACAGTGTTAGAGAGTTTAATTCTCCATTTTCAGTGACAACAGGACAAAACTCCACGCAGCATCTCGAGGTTGAGAGCTTGGACATTTCAAGGGGAGCATGGCAGAAGGTCCAGCCCTGCTTTGATGGGTCAGCAAATGAGGCAGGAAGGAAAACTGGGGAGAATCCTTGTGGGCAGGGAGGCTGGGACAGCTGGACCAGCAACCAGAGAGCAAAAGAACCAAACCTGTTCCCCTCTGCAACACCTGGATGGAGCTGGACAACAACGTGGGCCTGATAAATGCTGAGTGGGAAAGTAAATGCATGGGTTACTTGAAATGCAGCCCCCAGAACCCCTGGGCAGACCTCGTGTGGCACAAAGATGAGGCTCCCGTCAGGGAGCTCCTTGCCAGCAGAGCCCAGGGCAGGATTTGGTCTCAGATGCCACTGCTCAGGGCACAGGTGGGAGCTGAAACTCCAAAAAGCATCCCAGGATGGCTCAGCAGGCAGCAGAACGAAATCCACACAGTGGGCATGCCACACTGGCCAGAAGCAGCAGCCTGGGGTGTGCTGGCCACGCTGCCAGGTGCCAGCCAGCCCAGGGCAGTGCCCAAAGCTGGGCCTGTTCACAAAAGCTCCCAAGTGACTGATTTTCCCCTGCCACTGTGCCCAGTGCAGGAGATAAATAACACCTGCTCTCCAGCAGCCACAGGAGCTACTCCAAAACAGCACCCGTCTGTGTGAAAAGGAGTAGTTGTATCACAAAGTTATGCCAAAATAAAAACAGTCCAGCTGGGATTTTTCCCACATGGTTGGAAGTAATTGCTGGGACCAACAGAATTGTTGAACTGATATCAGCATTCACCAGCAGCTCCCTTCGGACTCTAGGTCTGAATGCTTGCAGGAATTATTCTCAATAAACAATCGTATTCAATAAACAGTATCAGTGCTTTGTTTTCCAGGAGGCTGCCTGGGAGCTCAGTGTTGGAGGCACAGGTTGGGCTGGGAGGACAAATATCAGCTCTGGTCTGTCCCTCCCTGCTGACCCTTCCTTTGTGTGCCCCCTCCCTCCTGGGAACCCACTCCTGTGTCTGCTCCACATGTGCCCACCCCACCACTGGCTGCATTTCCACATTTCCCCCCTCCAAAGTCGTGTTTTCATCTGTCTGGGCACTGTCACATCACAGTGCCTGATGTATCTCAGGAAAACACTCCTCTTTGGTGGCCTTGAAGCCTGCTGGTTTTGGACAACATCAGGAATGGGCTTCCCATCAGCTCTCTCCACTCTGGCTGCAGCAGTGGCAGGGATGAGGGGCTGGGTTTGGGGTGGGAGCCTGGTTCCAGCTCTGTGGCCAGGCTGGGGGACCCACCCTGGGCTCCCACAGATGTGCTGGAGACAGGCAGGTGTAGAGCTGCTGCCTACAATGGTACAAAGCATCAAAAGCCAGCAGCTGGCACAGCTCAGCACCTTGCAGAGGTGCTCCTTTCGGGCTGCTGGGATCCTCCAGGCCGGCAGCATCAATGATCCATGGTCTGGATAAAATCAGTCCAGCCTGCTGGTGCCTCACAGGGGCATGGCTGGCATGGGGCTCCCCGTGCCCAGGGGGAGCTGGGCCTGCCCACACCTTCCAAACATCCCATCCACAGACAAGGACCAGGACACCAGGACACGGCCATGCCCCAGTTTGGCTCCCAGGGCGGCTCTCCCAGTTCCAGGGACTCTCCAGGTGCCATCCTGAGCTGCTCAGTTGCTGCATCACCACCTGGAGTCTCATCCACATTTTTTCCTGCTCTCTTACTCCACTCCAGAAAATGTGAGGAGCATGCCCTGCTTCATTCTTCACCCACTCCATCTGGGGAGTTTCTTTGGCGAGGGGTCCTGAGGCAGTGGCACCACTCCAAGTCCAGAGTGCAGAGCCCAGGTTTTTCCTGCATGAGTTTAACTGGGAGAAGCCAGACTCAAAATAGCAACACACAGGGATATTCCCAGGCAGGAGCTGCATCCCTGGCAGCTGGGAAGCTCTGCCACCCCCTTGGCACAGCCCCCAGCCAGCCAGGCAGAGCAGAACACCTCACCCCAAGCAGACTTGCATTAAAAACTGAAGTATAGCAGCACAAATTTGTTCCTTTTTTTGTTCTTTCCACTTTATAGTATATATGTTATCGTTTATTTATAGGCAGATCACTTCACTATTTACAGTACATGAGCGTAGAGATTCTACAGTCTTTTTGATGTAAACAAGAAACTCCACGGCAGGGGAGTCTGGAAAAAGAAGCCAGTTCTGAAGTATTTACACAATTTAAAATAGAACTTTTATACCCACTGGATAGATATAGAGAATACATTGAGCGATTTGGTTAAATTATCTATGAAACTATAGAATCTGACAATGTAAAAATACAAGAAAACGTTCTCTCATTTTAGAAGGTAGACAGTTAAATCACACTAGAAATAAATCTCTTTTGTTTTTTAAAAATAATAACAATAATAATAATAATAAAGGAAAGGCATAAGAATCCATGCCATCTCTTAAGGTTAAAGTATATTACATAAATAAGGACACAACAGAACGGAACTGGGGGAAAAAATTAAGTGAAATATAAAAAAAACCACTATCAATTAAAAAAAAATACTAAAAACTTGATTCTTAATCATAAAGGGATCAATTCTGCTGCTTTTACTTACTCTTCAAGTAGAAAATTGGAGAGTTAAGTAGTACTTACTCAGCATGAGTAAGGGAGGCAGAATTGACCCCTAATAATTATGAGCAGTGTCCTTTTACTTAAAAAAAAAAAAAAAAGACAGAATTTAGCTTTTTTTTATAAATAACAAAGCAGATGTGCCCCTTTTTAGGTGAAATTCTTACACCTTTCTCAAGAAATGCATCAATTGAACCGTTCTCTCTCTTTCTCACATGCACTCACACACTCCCTCCCCAACTCCTGCTGCTGCCCCTGGCCCCAGGGAGGGCGAGGGAAGAGGAATGAAACCCCAAAATGAAACCCCAAAATGAAACCCCAAGGCTGCATTTGGCTCTATATTGCTTGAGATTGTCAGGGATGCACTTGGAACACGACGGGTGTCGGGTTCAGCTCCAACACCGGTGGACTCAAGAGACCTCCAGAAAGAAAAGAAATCCCTCCCAAAAAAAAGGAGAAAACCGTGTTGATCTGCAATTGTGAAACTCCTGGACAAGGCCCAGACTGAGATGAGGCTCAGGACTGTAACGTGGTGAGTGAGCTGCTGCTTCCTCAAAGATGTGCAGCCCAGGCAGGAAATTGAGGAATCGAGAGAAACCTTTGTTTTGGGGGCAGCATCCATCCTAAAACCTGGGATTGTCCTCTGCATTCAGCCCACACACTCAGACCCGTTTGCTCCTCCCTGCGGAGCCTCAGGGACATGCTGGATTCCAGCCAGAAACCTGCTGCCCCCCCCCAAAAAAATTAGTTTTTCTGGGGAAAACCCGTGCAAAACAAGCAAAAGGGGCATTTTATCAGAAACTCCTCACGCATTCAGCATTTCCCCACAGCAGGAAACGGCTGGGGGAACGTTCTATACTTACACACTTTTAAAAAAATAAATCTCCTCCTGACTTATTCCTACCAGAATAAACCCTTTTGCTCCCAGTTTCTCCTGCCCACCCCACAGCCCTGGCCCTCCCAGGGCGCTGGGGTGTGAGGGGTCCCTTTTTGAGGGGCACCCACCGTGGTGCCACAGGCTGGGTGGGATGTAAAGGCAATCCTTGGAAAATGGTGGGGGGATCCCCAGTCCCTGGCAGCTGCTGCAAAGCTCTGGGCACCTCTGGCTTCCCTGGCAGCAGGGCCTGGGCATTGCTTTGCTCCTGCCCCCGTTCCCTGTCAGCATCCAAATTTTAGGCAGCTCTCACCTGCCCCTGTGCCCGACCCACCTTCCTGCAGACTCGAGCACTGTGAGCTAAAGACACCTTTAGAGTAAAAAAAAACAAAACCCAACAAAAGACCCACAAAAATTAAAAAAAAAAAAAAAAAAAAAAAAAAAGAAACCATGTGGAAATTTACTTTTCACCCAGTCCTAAAAGGTGGGGGAAGCCCCAAGGCAGGCAGCAGCACACAGCCCAAGGGGCTCTAAGCATAGTGCATAAGTCCTGGATAAGAAAGATTTTTCTGGGGAGGAGGGAAAACAAACCATCCCAAGTGAATGGAAAAAAAAAAAAAAAAAGGTAAAAACCCAAACCAAAACCAGAAAACCCAACCCCACTTATAGGCTTCAGGCACCACGAAGACCACTTATTGCATCTCTTCCTACCCTAGGGCTGCAGTACTGCTGAGCTCTGTGCAGGACCAGCCCTCCCCTTCCCCAGCACCGGCCTCGGCACCCAGAGCTGAGCCAGGGCAGCCAGCCCCAGGAACACCGGGAAATTCTCCATCTGGGTGTGCCAAAGGCAGTGCTTGGGAAGTGACTGAGTGATCCCCTGGAGTGGGCTGCAGCCCCCCCAGCTCTGCACTAACCCTTCCCCTCCACCACCCTTGATGCATCCCCAGCGGGGCCCAGCCATGGGTGCCCCCAGCTGAGTGGGAGATGGAAGAATTCCACTTATTTGCTTTTCTTTTTTTTCCTTTTTTTTTTTTTTTTTTTTTTTTTCTTTTGATTGATTGTTTTCTGAAAAACATCAGCACAGCACAGGACAGTACTACCCACCCTAAATGTGTCGCTATATACATTCTACATAAGCTCTATAGCAATCACATGTAAACATCATCATCATCATCATCATCGTGAGGAAATACTAGGACAGAAAAAGGCAAAGCTACAATGAGGCAATTGCCAATAGCAGATGCTCAGTCTCGGCCAGAGCTGCTCGTGTTTGCTGAGGTGGGATGAGAACAGGGGGGATTTTGGGGTGGGAGAGAGGCCGGGTTTCAGTGCTGGGGCTGAAGTGGCACAAGGCCGGTTCCCCGGCAGTGATGGTCACCGTGGGGACCCCGCGCTGGCCTCCGGGCCCTGGCGCTGCCGGGCTGGGTGTTGTCAGAACCGCGGCTCTCCTGAGGGGAACAGCCAGGGAACTGTGCTGGTGTCGGCATTGCTGCTCCTGCCAGAGCCCAGCTGCGCTCCGGCCCCGAGCCTCGGCCCACCCTGGCACGGCTCCGGCCCCGAGCCTCGGCCCACCCTGGCACGGCAGGGCTTCAGCCCCGAGCCTCGGCCCACCCTGGCGGGGCTCCAGCCCCCGGCACCTCATGCCGTTCCCAAGGCTTCGGTCGCTCTCCCCGCAACGTGCCCGGGGAACCGGGGATAAAACCCCCAAGTCATGGCAAGGGGAGACCCCAGGAGACTCTAATCTATCTATTGGCAGAGTTAAGGCTATAATATTCTATCTACAGAGGATGGCTGAATCCCTAGTGGTCTCTGGGGCTCAAAAATTAAAGGAGAAGGTGGCAATGGCTTGAGGCGCAGCAAGATTCCCGCTCCCTTGGGAAAACAGTGTCTCTGGCCGGCTGGTGGTGGGCTTTGCTCCGGCTGGGGGACAGCTGTGTCCCCATCTCACCCCACTCACACACGGAGGGCAAGTCCTCAAGTAAATCTGACACTTAAATCCAGCCCCGAGGGCCCTTGGCCAGAGGCAGAGCTGTGCCCTGGGGCGCTGGGATGGATCTGGGCTGCGGGTGGGTGCTGAGGCGTGTATGGCTTATCAGCTATGGGACAGGGTGCTGGGTGGGGGTCCAGTGTGGGTGCTGTGCCCCCCAGCCTCTCTGCATTTGGGGCTGGGATTTGGGCTGTGTGTGGGGCTGGAATTTGGGCTGAGTTTGGGGCTGGGATTTGGGCTGAGTTTGGGGCTGGGCTTTGGGCTGTGTGTGGGGCTGGATTTTGGGCTGTGTGTGGGGCTGGCTGCCCAGCAGAGAGCACAGCCAGGTCTTCTCGCCCCGCTTGCTTTGCAGGGTGTGGAAGCGAGCGAGGATCAAGCCCCAGGGCCTGGCCAGTCTCCCAGCCATCCAAGGAGCTGGAGAGGAGCCAGCTCCTCCACACGGACTGGAGCATCCATCCCCCAGCGGCTCAGGCCTGGCAGCCCCCAGCCCCTCTCTCCAAAGGCAGCAGGGGTGCAGCAGCGCTGGCTGCAGGTGCTGCATCCCTTTCCCACCCTCTGCAGCCTGCAAAGCCGCCCGGCCCAGGCTCCATCACCCACCGGGACCCAGCTCAGCACCGAGGGGCTCGGGCCACTCCAGCACGAAGAATGGCTTTGACAGCAAAGTGGGTGACCCCGGTTTGCCAGCAGGGGAATGTCAGCTCTGAGACTGCTCTGACCCCCCATTTGCTGAGTGGCAAGTGCCTCATTACAGTGCATAGTTAAAAATCAAGGAAGCGGTACAATAAATCTGAATTACAGTACATCTGAGCCATAAATACATTTTTTTTTTTTTTAAGTATATACTTTTTCTTTTTTCTTCTCTTCTTCTATTAAAAATTAGTTTATAATCCTGATTCTATTCACAATGAACAATTTCATCATCACACACTACGGACAAAAAAATGTTATGGTGAACACAGCTGCAACT